CGCGGGCGCCGCTGCCAGCCCCCTCCACCGGGAAAGGCCTCGGCTTCAAGACTCTGGGCCGCCAGCAGTTCTGCAGGAGCCGAGGGCGAGGCTCGGGCCGAAGAAATGGTTTCGGAACACAGCTGGGGATCTGTGCTCAGAGATGCGACGTCCTGATTTTTCAGGACGGCGTCCCTGGAAGTCCAGACCCTTTCCCCGGGGCCAGAATTTTCATCCTGCATCGTTTTTTGACAGTCCCGAGGCCCGGCGAGGGCCCCCCGAGGCCGAAGTTGGCCCAAAACCTTCAGCCCTGATCTTGTTACGACGCGATCATGTCTGGGGACGTGGCTGGGGATCTGTGGGGGTGGGGTCGGACGACGATGACCAGCACGAAAGAGACGGGTCTCAGAGGAAAAACGGGTCTTGGACCCGGGGGCTTCCCGCAAGGGTTTGGTCGCGCATCTCACCCTACAGGCGGACTTTGGACGAAAGATAAGAACGGTGACGGTCACGGAGCCAGCACGGGTGTCCACGCGAGGGGACTAAGCGGGGCGGGGCCAGAGCGCCAACAAGCAAGCAAATTCGCCGGCCCAACGGGCCAGAGGCGTGCTAAGATCTCCGGTAACTGGTTAACAATTTTCTAGTTCGCGCGCGCGGGGCGGCCCCTGGGGGTCCCCGGACGAAAAGTACCCCGACCAGGTCCCGGCCGGTCCCCGGCCGGGTCCCGGCCGGCCGGGGGTCCCGGCCGGGTCCCCCCGAGCGCTCCATGAGCGCACCAACAGGGCTCCGAGACGTCCCCGAGAGCCCCAAGAAAGGCCAAGAGGCCCCCAAGAGGCCCCCAAGATGGTACACGAGGGGTCCGACATGCCACAAGATCGCTCCAAGACGCCCAAGATAGCCCCCAGACGCCCCAAGAGGCCTCCAAGAGCACTCCCAATAGGGCCCCCGGAGGCAAAAATCATTGTTTTTCCATAGGTTTTTGAGAGATTTTGGAGCTTCCACCTTTTCGGCTTCCCGACGCCCCAAGACGGCCCAAGAGGCCCCCAAGATCGCCCCAAGAGGGCCCAAGAGGCACCCAAGAGGGCCCCAAGATGGCCCAAGAGGGCTCGAAGACGGCCCAAGAAGCCTCCAAAACGGTCCAAGAGGGCCCCAAGAACGCCCCCAAAGGGGCCCCAGAGAGGGAACACGAAACAACATTTCGAGCCCTCGGCCCTAAGAAGCCCCTACGAGGCCCCTAAGAGGCCCCAAGAGGCCCCCACGGGGCCCTCAGGAGGCCCCCAAGAGTCCCCCAAGCGGCCCCAGGAGGCCCCCCAAATGCCCCCCCGAGCGCCCCAGGAGTCCCCCAAGCGGCCCCAGGAACCCCCAAAGCGCCGCATTGACACCAGGCCCTCGGGCAAACGGCAGACATGAGACTGTATGGGCCGGCGGAATGAGCGAAGCGATTAAATAAGAAATAGTCAAAGAATGCCCACAAATGGTCAAAAATAATCCCAAACTCGTCCCTAGACTAATTTTTGACTATTTCTCGAATCTTCCTCCTGTAGAGGGACAGGCCCGACTTAACGCAGAGGCCAGTGCCTCATCCCGAGTGGCGGACTGGCGCTCCCGGGCCCCCAAGAGGCCAGCACGCCTCCAATGAGAGATCGGAGCCCGAATCGGAATCCCAAGTCGAGTCGAATCGGAATCGGAAACCACCGAGATCGTACCGAATCGAATCGGAGGAAGCGAGACGAGCCCCGCGAGGGGCCAGTGCCTCATCCCGAGCGGCGGACGGGCGCTCGCGCGGGCCCCCTGGGAGGCTGGGAGAGCAGCGAGCAGCACCTAGGGGCCCGCTGCCTCCAGGACCCCCCGGCCCGCGTGTTCAGGCGAGCGCGCCCCACTGCTCTCAAGTCGGGCCTGTCCCTCTGCAGGAGGAATATCCAAACATGGTAACAAAACATAGGAGGACGATGTTTGGACTAGTTTTGATAATTTTGGAATGCGGGTTGACTATATTTTATTGTTCGCCCAAGCTCCGCCTGTAGGGGGCGACACAGGCGCCGCAGCGGGGTCCCACGCCGACCCAAGAGCTTCGCGCGAACATCTAACTTACAGTGTATGTTCATGCCGGTCCTCCATTTCCGATTCATGGGGACGACGACGAGGCAGCTGCAAGCCGGATGGGCCTGCCTCCAAAGGGGGCTAGTTCGAGAAGAAAAAGCAGGGGTGAAACGAAAGATAGAAAACACGAACAGGCCACGCAACTGGGACATGGAACTCGTCCACATCATCAAGACCGTCTCAACGACGAAACCGATTGGCACGCCCAACATGGGTACTGAAAACAGATCTACGAGTTGCCAGAAAGAATCAGCGGCCCCTGTTTGGCAGGCGGATACGTCCGCGGCGACACCGACTGCGAGCCCTACTCAAAATTGACAAGAACTTCTGCCTTTCGATGTTCCCTGCGGTCCCAAAATCATTTGGTGGCAGACCGCGCGATGACCTCGGAATCCCAAGAGACCTCACCGCACGGTCCGTCACCGCATCGCCTTAAGACCCTGGAGGCCTCCGTCACCCGAAACGTCCTCAAAGAACGACCTGAGCCCCAGGACCGTGCGGTGACCCCATACCGTCTGTGGATGCCCGAAATGGGTACGGAAAAGATGGGTACGATGCCCAACACCGACAGCGGCCGCTCTTGGGCAGGCGGCCTTCTGTCTCAAATGGACAACGCCCGCGGCGACGCCGACAGCAAGCTCTGTCCAAAATGAACAAGAATTGCTGGCGGTCTTGGAGGCGGCTGGGGGGTCTGAACTGGTCGGGACACGGGAAGATCTGTCAGGAGGGGGGGATGAAGCCAAATCCGCTCAAACTCGCTCCCCGGTCCCCTCCTGGGGTCCGGCTGGTGAAAACTGTCACCCCAAATCCGTTTCGCACGCTCCCGGGGCCCGAAAACGGCCCCCGAAGCAAGAAAAAGAGCATAAAATCGTCCCGAACCCAGAACCTCGAACGTGCCCATCCTCCCTGCTGGCTGGAAGCAGTGCTGGGCCAGCTCGTCAGATTCCCCCCCGGCGGCTCCAATCTCGGTCTTCGTGCCGATTCTTTCCGTACCCATCCCGATCGTGCCGAAAGCTACCGTCGGGGAGACGTAAGACTCGGGTTCGGGGGACTCGGGTTGGCCTGACGGGGCCATCATGAAAATGACGAGCCGCGGTCTGAAATTTGACGCGAGCTCCCGCTGCAGACATCCCACGAAAATTTGAACGTCAAAATTCACCACGCGCTCGTCAAAAAGCGTCGGCAAACCCGAGTTCCAGCATGCGCGGTAAGGATGCAAGGGCCTTGGACGCCCATTTCGAAGCTTCTCGAGCGGGGCGCGGCCAACGAAAGCAGCCAAGAATTGACCGAGGAGGCAAGGATGCAAGGGCAACCTTGGGATGGCTGCCCGTCCTTACTGTGCGGGTTGACGTGAGTCCACATACCCCTATTCGACGCCCCCGAGATATGGAGTCCCAGCGTTAACAGAAGAAAAAACGCATACACAGAAACTTTTGGCGCTCCGCGCGGATTTCTTGGATCCACGCTGTGCCCCCCTCCCTGGCGCGCGGAGGCCCAGGCGCGGATCCAAGATATTCGCGCGGAGCACCACAAGTGTTTTCGTGTCTTCTTCGAACCGCACTCGAGTCTTACGAGTTCAGACGAGCGCGTTCCACTACCTGCGAAGTAACTACTCGCAAATTGGCCTGGATCCGTCGCGGGGGCCCTACGATACACTACCTCGAAGCAGACCTGTGCCTTTCGGACGTTTGCGAGTGGGCACCTCTCTGAGAGCTCCGGCGTGATGCCCCGAGGCGAAGCGGCCCTGGCCGGAGGCGACGCGCCCGCAGCGTGCCTCTCGCGCCGCCCTCCCCCCCCCCCCCGGGCGCGGCGGCCCTGCCCCAAACTGCCTCGTGCAGCCCGCCTGCAGCGCTGCATCTCGGGGGGGGGGGCGGCGGCCTGCCTCGGGACTCTTTGAAAATAGTGGAAAAAACGTCCCCAGACTAATTGTTCTACTATTTTTGAATATTCCTCCTGTAGAGAGAGACGCCCGACTGAACCCCATGATTCCTAGGATTGTTCACAACGCGAGGAGGCCTGGTCGGGGATCTTCTGACCCGAATTCATCCAGACCCGGGTCAACCAGGACTTGCAGAATCCTGCAGAATCCTGCGAGATCCTGCACTCAAACCCGGGTCAGCGCGAAGGACCCTGCAAGATCCTGCAGGATCCTGCACCCAGGCCCAGTGTAAGGAGACCCTGGCCCTGCAGGATCCTGCAAGATCGGGCGCTCTGGCTGACCCCCGTTTGCACTCACCCCCGTCTCTAGAGCCCCGACTGCCCCAAGGAACGCACGGCCCGGCTCGGGATGCGAGGCAGCACGGTCCGCAGCCCGAACTCCGCCGCAGGCGGCTCTACACCACCACCGTGGCTGGCGAGGGCCAGCCTGGTTCCTGGCATGGCGCATACGCCCTCCTGGCCAATGCGCATGCACCATGAGAGGCCTCCCAGATGGGGTCGGAGTACAGTCGGTCAGAAGGACGTGCAGTAAGGATGCAAGGGCCGTGGACGCCAATTACGAAGCTTCTCGAGCGGAGTGCGGCTAACGAAAGTGGCCAAGGATGGACCGAGGAGGCAAGGATGCAAGGGTTGACTGTAGATGGGGTCCAAGGATCGCGCCGCATCGCCGATGCATCGGCGATGCATCAGGAATGTATCGGCAATGCATCGCCGACGTCGGCGATACATCGGCGACGTCGACACGAAGAAAATCAGGCTCCGCATCGACCCGCATCGCCGATGCATTGGCGATGCGGCGCGATCCTCCGACCCCATCTACTCCGACCCCATCTGGGAGGCCTAGAAAACGCCTCCTGGCCAATGCCAGGAGGGCGTATGCACCATCGTGGGGAGAGGATGCCACAGGCCAGACACGGTGGTGACGGTGGTGGTGCATTTAGATGCCGCCTGCGGACTACATCCGAGTCCTCACAGGAAGGGTG